TATAAAAACAGGTATAAAAAATATTAATTCTTCATTTAAAAAAAAAAAAATGGGGGGTAAGTTTTTTACGGCGTTCGCAGCTGCATAAGATCACAGGACACACCAAACATTTTTAGTTGGTAGGAAATTTTGAATTTTGCCCAGTTGGCGGCCGTAGCCTACTCTTTGTCGATTTTAGACCATCAAGGGATCTTTAACGTGCGCAACATGCACACGGGACCTCCGAGATTTTTCGCCCCTGTCCATGAAAGCTATGTGTAGATCTTTCCTACCGGAAGATCAGGGGTGTGGCTGAAAGACAGCAGTAAGAAGGAGCCAAGGAGTAGCAGTAGAAAGGCTGCAGAAAGAGTTAAAAGCCCAGAGGAGAGGGCAAATGAGTTGAGGGGTTGGGGGCAGAAAATGGAGCCGAAAGCAGACGGCAGAACGTCGCTAAAGAGCAGGAAAGGGGGTGAGAGAAGACAATTTTAGAGAAGAAAATGTTTCGGTCGTTACCGGGATTCAAACCCGGGACCTTTAAGTGAGGGGTAAACACCTTAACCTCTTGGCCACGAGAGCCCCCCAATTCCCTCATTTCTGTTCTAATCATTTAGGCAATATAAATAATTAAGTCTACCTACGCTCCCCGCTTTACGAGGTGGATATTAGTTGTTCTGAGAGGCAGTCGAGACTCGATGTGTTCCACGGAACGTTTATCTGTCAGGCACTGTCGCCGCGGATTATTACCCACCTGGCCAATACGCGTAAGTTGAAGGTTAGGATAATAAATTTATATTATATTATGGTGGTAGTCTAAACATTACTGTCTTCCGCAGAACGTCCTCTCAGCTGGGTGTCCTGTCATGCCCTCGTTCCCGTTCCTTTTCATAAAGTCACGTATTATGTGGCTAGTCCAGCGCCGAACTACTGGTGTCTGTTGTGTAACGGTTAGGCGCTCTGCCAAAGCACGCAAAGACCAAGAGTTCGATTCCCGTGTGGGGAGAATTGTTATCGAGTATTGTGGTCGTTCTGCTGAGACGTTATAAAGTCCCTCTCTGCCTGGGTTGGCATCTACAGGCAGGGTCGAAATCCGCCTCTTAAATCATGTTCAGTGTAACGATGCAGGGCGTAAAACACTAACATTTTTAAAAAATCATTGTTATTCTTTTATTGGATTTTTAAAATATAAATTCAGCTTCAGTCTTGAAACACCAAACGCCTGTTGAAATTTGGTTTTCGTTTTTCAGACCACAATGCACGGTATGAAAAAAATTTGGCGACGCTCAAACAGTTTGAAAATGGCTTGAGAAAAAAAAGGATCACCTCTGTCCAGTTACTTTTCATGCTCTTATTGGATCTTATGATAACGCTTTGTAGTACTAGCAGTTACCATTGTATGCCCACTAGACAGCTCTTTTCGGTGACGGGCGTTATAAAATGAAATTTATGGAAGACTGTCAAAGGGGTATTGGACTGGTATCATATTACGCCACATTAGGCTTTAAACGGTCGTTTTATCGGTGAAATTCTGGTCCCAGTTCAAGGCTTGAAGGAAATATTTCAAGGAAAGTCTCGGAAACGTTTAAACCCTATTTAAATTAGAACCCAGAATCTCCGTGTGTCAGTGAAGCGTGTAACCAACTGCATTTCGAAGACTGCTGTTTTGCGTGTTTAAGTGAGAAAAGTGGTTAATCTACCAGACTCGTATTCGTGAGGTTGCAGGTTTGGGGGTTCGAGCCTTTCTTTGGGAAAGACACTTTACACAAATTTTCATCTCTTCACCCGGGAGGGAATGGGTACCCAGTATGTTAGTGTTGAAGCGCCTATAAATGGCTGCTTGCATTGTATTCTTCTCAGGAAGTTGAGTTTGTTTCAGAATGCTCTCAGGTCTTGTGGGGTAATAGTATAGATTGTGAAGCTCATAGAGCTTGCTGTTGAGACAGGATTTGCGCTATACAAATGCTATCTATTATTATTAAAAGAAAGGTTGTCTGTCTTAGAAATTCCGGATATCCCATCTGGGTGCTAGTCCATTGTTACTTTCTGGCTTCTCGTGATTGTATAGAGTTTGGTTTAAAAGATGCCACCGAAGCTCAACATGTTAAAAACTAAAGAAGATCACATTTGAGGTCTCTCATGTCGTTAATCTGGAATGTTCCCATTTCTTACAGATCAACGCAACCCGCCAAAAGTTTAACCAAGCCCAGGATGGCACTTCATCTTCGTCCTCGTCGAAACCCAAATCGGACACGGCAGGGGAACCGGTGTCAAAATTGTTACATCGCGGTAGAACCGACTTCAGTCAGCTACTACAAAAGTTCTCCGGTTCCGAGGCATCGGCTTCGGAAAAATCCGACTGTGAAAATGTCGGCCTGACGTCATCATCTCCCGTAAGCGGGATTCCCCGGAGAGGTTTTGTACGACGCCAGGAGGCGAAAGAAATCATCAGCTCCAGCGACGACTCAGAGAGTGCACGGCGCACCCCGGAGAGAACCCAGAGTTTAAAACTCACGTCGAATCGGATACGAGAAGATGGGAACCGGTCGTCTGAATCGCCAGGCAGAACCGGTATCGAGAAAAGCTCTAGCTTTCGGTCTGATTTCATGTCCAGGAGACTCTCTCAAAGACGTGACGAAGGAAGCGATAAAGAATCGACAGAACCGGCTAAACAAACCTCAGCTGAAGCCACTGTTAAGACTGTGGCCTCTCCTACGTCCAACAAACCGTCGGCCTCTGAATCCGGAACTCTGTCTGGCGTGACTAGCGAGCCCGCCCACCCTGAGAAAACGTCATCTCCACCGACAGACCTGACCGACGGCGCTGGAACGTGGCTCTCTGGGCGAGGGAGCCAAGAAGCGATTTCCAAAGCCGAGGATTACATTAAACGAGTCGAGACGACCATCAGCACGGCCCGGTCTAAGCGATCCGCGGAGAAATCGAAAAGCCCGAGTCTGGGAATCGGATCGACTTCTGCGTCCGGCAGAACCGGTGCCACGAAGTCGTCAGATGATACCAAGCTGCGTGCTGAGGAAGAGCGCGCAGGTTCCTTCATCAATCCTACTGAAAAGCCAGTAGTGGACGAGTCGTCGGCATCGGATCAGGCTATCAGTGGCACTGGCGATGCCAAATCGGAAAGTGAAGAAAAATCAACGACAGCAGCGGCAACAACGGCAGCAGCGTCATCATCTCATCTTCCATCTTCTCAGTCCGCTTCTCACGTCCCGGACACCCTCTCTGCCGTTTCCTCCTCTTCGTCGTCATCCATAAAGCCGGATACGCTGTCTTTACCATCGGTGACAACAACGAGCGCAGAAGAACGAGTTCCATCCCCCGTATCGTCAACATCTTCGATCTCACCTCGACCTGGAGAAGCCGCCAGCAGCGACCACTCTTTCACCTCCTCCTCTTCCTCATCCTCCAGCACCATCTCCTCTACCATTCGTCGCTCCGCATCACTCCGAGATAACAGCTTCAGATCGGACTCGGTAGACAAACAGCGGAAAGGTATACTTAAACGCACTTCGTCCATGAGCAAGTCAGACGGGGGAAGCAGTGACGTCATTGTGGACCCTCAGCTGGCCAAAATCCTTCAGCAGAGGCGCGAAATCCAGGGAGATGTGGAGGAAGAGGACGAGGAAGTAGAGGAGGAAGAGGAAGAGGCGGCATGCGTGTCTCCGCGGAGGAGGAGATCCCGGGCTCTGTCGGCCGCGGAGGAGATTGAGGAGACCTTGAAGTGAGTACCCGCTCGTGGCGCGTTGTACGTGCCTTATCGTGGTGCATTGTTGCTATCTCTATCTGTATTTGCTTTTGTTGCAGTTGTGGGGAGGTGGCAATGTGATGTTAGGTTGTTTTTTTAGGGGGGGGGGGGATAGTGATGTTTCTGGCTGATGTTGTTCCTTCGATTTTTTTCTCGGGGATTTGGGAGGGCAAGATTTCGCTTGGGTTGCAGTAGGTTGTCCTAGTTGTTGTTTTGTTGGGGTTGGGGTGAGGGGTTGTTTGTAATGGTTACATTTGTGATGACTCTGCCGAAACCAACACACACATACACACACACACACACACACACACACACACACACACACACACACACACACACACACACACAGAGAGAGAGAGAGAGAAAGAGAGGGAGAGAAAGAGAGAGAGAGAGAAAGAGAGGGAGAGAAAGAGAGAGAGAGAGAAAGAGAGGGAGAGAGATAAACAGAGAGACAGAAAGAGAGATACACAGACAGACGGACAGACGCACACACACATAAACACACAAACACACACACACTCACACAAACACATATACAATCACATATATATACCCCCAAAAAATAATGAAAGCTAAATGTTTGATTCGCTGCGGTCGAAGAGAGATTCATCTCGATAATCTCCCTCTTACGTCAGAATGGGGCAGGTGAAAATAAATTGGATACTTGGGCGAGGCTCCCCCAGAAGTGCTCGTCAGTTATCTATTTTGGGAATCCAAAAAACATGCGCGTCTGTTTCCCTCTCTGCGAAGGGGTGGATCTGTGAGTGTTTTGTCTGTCGTGGGGCTTTTGTGTATTTTTCATTCATCCTTTATTGGTTTATCTCTTGGCAGGATTTATTTACTCATTATTTTTTGTTCGACGGCGTTTTTCTTTAAAAGGTTTGTCTTTTTGGTAAGTTTTTTAGGGTGCTCGCAAATGCATAAGGTCATATGAGCGCGCAGGACACATCAAACATTTTCAATTGGTACGAAATTTTGAATTTCGCCCGGGTGGCGGCAGAAGCCTACTTTTATCGATTTTAGACCACTAAGAGATCTTTAACGTGCGCAACTGCACCCGGGACCCCCCCGATTTTTCGCCCCTGTCCGAGAAGGCTAGGCGTAGATCTTTCCTACTGGAAGATCAGGGGTGTGGCAGAAAGACAGCAGTAAGAAGTAGCCAAGGAGTAGCAAGCAGTAGAAAGGCTGCAGAAAGAGTCAGGATCCCAGAGGAGGGGGCAAAGGAGGGGGGGGGGGAGGGGGGCAAAAACTGGAGCGAAAGCAAACGACAGAACACTGCCAGAGACCAGGAAAGAAGGCAAAAGGAGATAATTGCAGATAAGAACATTTTTCCGTCGCTACCAGGACTCGAACCCGGGACCTATGAATGACAGGCGAACACCTTAACCTCTAAGCCACCTTGAAATGATTCATTATAATATATGTATATAAATTCGACTTTAAACTTGAAATCCTTGTAGTGTAAGTTCCCCCTTTACTATCCGTGAATAACTTCCCTCCTTCCCTCCCATAAACAAGCTCGACAGAGGTCTGATCATGCAGGCCTGTGACGTGGCTGTGGGCACACAGAGAATCTCTACAACAACATAACAACCTCTTCTAGAACTCACATTTGATATCCTCGCTATATGGATGAGAACTCCGAGAATGATTATATCATAAGTTAAAGAGCATGAGAGAGAGAGAGAGAGAGAGAGAGAGAGAGAGA